TATCATTGAAATAAATTATTTTACTAATCTATTAAAAGATAATACTGTGCAAGAATAAAATTAAGAAAAAAAAGAGAAAAAACCTTTTAGTAATGAACTCTTAAAAGGAAAGAAAATTCATATAGACCATAGAGTTCTGATTATATCGTTGATCTATCCCGATTCAACCCCACTCGCTATTATCTCGTATGGCTGTACTTAGGATACATTACCCGGATACGTAGGTACTCTGGCCCCGAAATTTCGATTAGTACAAGAGGAGGAAGGCACTTCACGAAATGATGTCCTTAACTTCGTAGGGGAGAAGTTCAAAAGAATTATATCGCAACTTCCTGCGGCTGATTGTAAGACGCAGGTAGAGGCCCACAAAAAATGGAATACACTTGCTTGATCACTCTGATTTTCTTTTTCTTTTCTTCAATTTTCCAAGATCGATCATTCGTTAATTCGATACGATACAAAATGTAACGATTGAATTTCTAAAGAATCTTGAAGAATATACAGTATTGAACAAAATTATTAATATTGATTAAATATTATTACCGTAACAAGTATAAGATTGTAAAAATTACAATTTCTTATTTAATTTTTACTGTCAAGTAAATACCTCGAATATAAATTTATTATATAATAATATAAAATATATTAATTATAAGTATATTGTATTCCATGAAGATTAATTTGATTTACAATAATAAAACATATTTTCTCGAGACAAATATATACATCTTTTTTTAATTAAATAAAGAATCGTAGTTTTTACAAATGTATAGAAAGTGTTTTAAGAAAATATAATATTAATTGTTTTCTTTCATGCATTAAAAGTTATACCTAGCAATAATTTAACGATAGGAGATGGGGCGAAGTTCAATATTACACGCTTCAAATGAAATATCGGCTCGATAAAAGAAATAATAAAATATTAAATTATTGATAAACAATAACATGTCTAAAACAGAAAATTATAAAGAAAAAGATCAAATGGCAATGATGTGAGAATTAAAGAAGAGAAAATAAATACTGAAAAAAGGAAGAACAAATGTTTTGCAGATTATGTAAGAAAAAAACAAAAATTATATGTTACGGGAATGTAAAAAAATTACAAAAAAATAAATAAAATAGAAGTAAAAACCAGTTGAATAAAAATTTGAAATATTTCCTAATTATATACAACTTTAAAAACACACGTAACACATGTATTTTAAAGATTGACCAAAAAAAAACCAATTAATACAATAAAGTATCTACAAAAATAATCCTTCTTCTGTTATCTTGAAACGATTCTAAAGAGACGGTAAGAAAATTTTCTTTGCCAATTATCGGAATTCCCTGAGCTCTTGGAGGCAGCAGCCACCGATGTCTTTCACGGATATTTGCCCAACGTCTTTCCATAGCGGTAGTCGTCTCTAGAGTTCGAAAGACAAGTCGAGGCACTTCGAAGAGGACGGAACGGGGGTTTGTTGCTCGTTCGTAAACGAGGAAGAGAGAAGAATGAGATGAAGGAAGGGAAAGGAAAAACAACTTGAATCCTCGTAGAGAAAGAGAAAGAGGAAGAGAAAGAAAGAGAGAATCTTGGTGAGAGTCGAGAGATACTAAGGGACGAGGAGACCCAAGTAAACTCAAGAACGGCGGCCTCTTTCATCCCCGAAACTTCAAAAGCCGAAGGAACTGTAGGAATCGCACCATATGCCGCCTTTCGAAGTGCCTTTCCTTTCTTTCTTCTTCTTCCTCTTCTTCGTGATAATAAAATTCTAATCATTCCTTCTATATATCTACCCCATGGACAACGATGCTCTCTCTCTCTCTCTCTCTCGTTGATGCTTTTCCAAGAGAAAGAAAAAAAAAGAGTAAAATAGAGTAAAAAACGAGAAAGAGAGAAATCGAGACAGGTCGACGACACGAAGGGATGAGAACAAAAAATGAATCACGATCTTCTCTCCTCTCGGAATTCGAGGCGGTTAATTAGACAGCTTGTCGTCGTTCACATAAATGAAAAAGAGAGAGAGAAAGGGATAAAGAGGTAAATAGAAAAAATATATAATCGTAAAATGATTTTCAAAACGTTCCCTCGTTTTTCAAATTCTGTTTACGCCCACATACGAACTCGTTTGTTAATTAAAAAATATTTCGATCTACTCTATCATCTCATAATATAAAAAAATAATCTTTACGGTAATGAAGACGGGACTTTTAGAATGAACCGTAATGTGTCAGATATTACGAACAAACGAGTTTTGATTAAATAAAAATATTTCGTGAAGTATATATTAAAATATTAATTGCTATTTATCAGTCGTTATTTTGAATTTGTATATTACATAAATAATAAAATATCAGTATATAATATAAGCGATTAGTATTAGATTGATTAATACAGATAGTATTTGAAATAAATATATAATATATATAATAAAATATATAATTATATATATTTATAAAATATCAAAATTTGAAGAAAATAACAGTATATCAACTGTTATCAATATATAATCTTGATGCCATCCCAATACAATTTTGATGTAACTCTAATCTTATTATAAATACTATCTATTTAAGACACTGTTGAGTTAATATTTATACTGAGTAATTTATTCATATATACTAATAATCTATCTTACAAAATATTGACTAAAAAAGTAAAAGCGTCAAAGATAGGAATTTCATGTAATGATGAAACATTAAATTCCTAATACAATGTACAAATAAGAGAGACCGATTTAAACGGTATAGCATTTCTGGTAAGTACACGACGAGACAGATGATCTAAGCTCAGCACGGATGTATGAATTGTTTGCTCTAGGGGCTGTTTACACACATGATTGTAGTGGTCTCTCTCTCTCTCTCTCTCACTCTCACTCTCTCTCTCTCTCTCTCTCTCTCTCTCTCTCTANTCTCACTCTCACTCTCTCTCTCTCTCTCTCTCTCTCTCTCTCTCTACCCTTCATTACCTTTCTCGCTTTAACGTCCTTATCCTTCTTTAAGGAGCTTCAACGTGATCCATTTATGAATTTAAACTCGATTTCCAAGCATCGAGTCTCCGTATATCACAGAAAATTGTCAATTAATATATCAACCTATTTAAAAAATCATTCTGCACGTGCAATAACCTTTTCGAGTGTTTAAAAATTGTTACAGACGTAAGTAACAACCCGACCAACGATTCGTCCTCCGTCATATTTAATCTCTTCGAAGAATATGATGGACGTCTAGTTTTTAATTTTCAAATTGAACACTGACGTTGTTGCTGTATCCATCGAGAATAAATCTGATGTGAGTTAGTACAGAATGAAGAATTGAAAGGTACCACATTTGATAACTGGATCTTGATAAATTTTCAGTTGTTACCGAGATAGAGAGGAACGTAAAAAAGAAGAGAATAAAAAAGAAAAAAAATACGCAATTGTTAAAGCTTCGATAACAGACTAGTCGTTAGAGGGGTTGCGGAGATGCAAGGGGTGTGACAGGATAGTAGGTCTCGAGGATGTAGCTGTAACTTCATAAAAGAGAAAAAAAGAAAAAAAAAAAGAAAAAAAAGAAAAGAGACGACTATCCTGAATTTCACAGGCCGCTACGCCACAAATGATGTACACTTCGGTGGTGCTCGATTTGGCTCGTATCATCCCGCACCCTCGACTGTGCTTTGCGCGTCGTGCAAACAACGCCACGCATGTAGAACAAACACGAGTTTGGAGGAGGGGAGAGAGAGAGAGAGAGAGAGAGAGAGAAAAGCTATGTACAACAGAGATACTATTGAATGGGAGACAGCAAGTAAGAGAGAGAAAGAGGGAGAGAAAATAGAACATTTCACGTGCTACTGCACGCGAAACCACCCTCTTTTCATGATTCCTTTCGAAATTTCAGAGTAAATACGAGATAGGACGAATATCCTTACATAATCGAACGTGTGTCTGTTTTTGAGAAAGATTTCATCTCAATGTGGAAGCTTTTTTTCCATATCGATTACATAGAATTACGATTTATATATATATATATCAAACAAAATGAAACAAAATATATAAATATGTATATATAGTACAAATTATATTTATACTAATATTAAATGATACTAACTAATTGTAAACCAAATCTGTAGAGTCGCTATGTAGTATCGAGAGTAAAATGGAGAAAAAAACAACGATTTATCGGCCATTGATATGTTAATTAGTGGAGAGTTCTCACCGTAGCGCTCGTTAATCCCCCGTGAAAACGATCATAGGGTAGGCGTACGAGTACCTACTCGAATAGAAAAGGCCGACGAACGGTCGGCACGTGAACGCATACACCATGTCTCTCTTTCTCTCTCATTCTCTCTGTTTGTACGGTCTACCACCGTATGCGGCAAGCTAAAGGGGCGCACATGGATAGTGGCCACTCGAAATTTCGCGCTAGTCCAAACTGATAGATTAATCGCGTAACCTCCTTGCTTCCCGATGAAAGGGCAAAGAGAGAAAAGTTGATGGTTCAGTGGACGTCTTCTACGCGCCATGGAGGAATCAGTGGAGCATGGAACAAGCCGTATGGAACTATACCACTCGGTTGGTCCCCTTTTCGATCTTACCAAACGATAATAAATTTAATCTCGCGTATGTCTTTTAATAATGATACGAATACAAATGAAATCGATAATATATTTTTCTTTACCCCTTTACCCTTATAATTCGTAAATACAAGTATACTGACAGTAGATTACGATTATGTAATACTTTGATCAAATATTGTACATTGGATAAGTTTATTATCTTGTTTGTGTATTATTTCTTTGATTTTCTATTCATTTATTTATTTGTTTGTTTAATTTTATTTTTATTTTTGTAAATTAAGAACATTAGAGAAACAAGGATGGGTTAAATGTTGTTCATCAAAAAATACAATAGCAGCTATTCGATCCTCATTTTCAAAGCGAATCGGCCGGTAATTATTATTGATATAATACATTTCCGGTAATAATCTCGACGACCCAATTAATACTATCGACATATCGATAGGCGCAGTTGCGTTACACGCCATAATTTATCGCGATAATCCCACAATGCCCGTAAACTATCGCTCACGCGTGCATTTTGGCCGGGTGCACGGTATTTCCTGTATTCTCGAACCAACGATGGTTCAATGAATACCGTTGTAATCTCTAACGATGCAATAAACAGTCTTTCTATTAGAATGGCTTCGCGCCTCCAAATTCTCCATCTATTTTGTACACACAATCTGGATGTTGCGAGTATCCAATAGAATCGCGGCGAATTCATCCACACGATGATCTTAAAACGAATTAATAAATATGATACGATAAAATGAATCATTTCAATTTAATTAACGCCAAAATTATGTAAGTAAATAATTCAAGTAATCGCGGTAAGAAAAATGTAAAATAAAAAAAAAATCACATTCAACTATTTCATTGCTTTTCTTCTTTTACGTCAACGTTAATATAGTAATCTTCTTATAACGAGAACAAGAATTTGATTTACCTGTTGTAAGTCTAGGATTCATTCTATAAAGCCGGCTCACACTGTGTACTCTGTATACTGTATAAAGTTTATACGATGTGAAGTGGTGGCTGGTTGCATAACTGGAAAAATCAACGAACAAAAGTAAAAAGAAGAGTAACTAAGGGATAAAATAAATAAATATGATTTGCAAAAGAATACTTATTAACGTGTTAAAATAATTTTTTCCTCCCTTCTTTCTTCCCTTATTTAAATTTTGATCTTGTCTTTGCTATAAACTTCGTCCACGCGAAACAATGACAAAATTAATCTATGTTAAAACAATTCAAAAACTTTCTAATAAAATAAATCTCTTCCAATAAGTAGTCGTTGATTCTTGCTAAACTCGATCGTTTAACTATTCCTTGATTCGTCATCGTTACTTCTCCTTATTATTCTTTTCCATTAATCTAAAAACCCTTTTATTCTCGCTAAGAGAAAAGTTCGGCGAAAGTGTACGAGGGAGTAATAGAAATTTTGCACGATTTACCACGTTCACGTGTCTCTTCTGATAAAATCACGAATGCACTTACTAACTGCATTGTTTTCTCGCTTTTAAAACCAAGGCATGATTCTTCGATCGAAACAAAGGATTAGTCCAAACGAAACAAAAACCTCATCCGATTTCGTGAAGTTGGGAATGGTGTTGTTGTGTATCTACAATACATAAAATATATCTTTTTCAAAAGAACCAGGTTAAAGCTACTTTATAAAGTGAACCCTTAAGTCAAGATTAGATAAACGAAAATCAAAGTAAAGTGGACAGGAATAAGAGGGTAATAGGTATTGGTTCCGGAAAGTGAAAATAAAGTAGCGCAAAGAGAAAATAAGAGAGAAAGAGAGAGAGAGAGAGAAAGATAGATAGAGAGACAGTGTGTACACGTTAAAGGGGCATTCGCTAGTGTGCTAACAGCAACAGGTGCCCGTCAAATAGCGCTCAACGTCTCTAGCAGCTTCTCTCTCTCTCTATCTTTCTCTTTCTTTCTTGCCCTGTTCTCCTTCCTTTCCCTATCCCCACCTCCTTCTCTACGTCTCTTTCTATCCTCTTACAAGGAACTCGCACGCGATTCTCATAATTGATTCGTCGACAAGAGTTGCCATCTCGAAGCTGACTAAATCGCGTTACCACATCGAGATACAGATCCCTTTACTTTCAGACAGCTTTTCTATGCTGTTTGTGCCTACCTTCTCTTCATCTACGAGACACGAATTTCGTAACGAAACGAATTTCTCACTCGTAACTTCGTTCCTCTTCCAGAGATAGAGAACAAAAAATTGTCTTCAGAAATTACAACGTTTTAACCGCGAACCTGATAAATTATATATTTTTTAACGTAATCTTTACAATTTTCTATTTTACGACGAGAATTTTGAATAAAGAAGGTACGTTTGAGAGAATCGAAGTTTTATTATTCTTTAAATATGTAAAATAGACATTTATTAAGTGTAGCAATTAATACGGTTTTTTGATATTAAGTTCATTTCGTTAAATTCAAAATCTTTATATTTTTTTCCCTCAAGGAATTTTGCAATTGCCTGAAAGATAAACAAAAATCATCGAAAATAATGAAGACTATTTCGAAAAATAAAAAATGTGAATATGATTACTTTATAAATAAAAACAACTTGGCATGCGAGTAACGCATTTTTATGTTTTTCGCAGTCTGTCACTGGAACGCGGGTCACGCAAAAATACGTATTTAGTAAATTTGTAGTGGATAGTGGGTAACGTATAATTGCAGCACAGTGAAGTGGATAAAGCGCTTAGGTATGTATATGATTAATTGTGCATTTTTCAATGTATATGTACTATATAATTCGACAAAGACGGAAAAAATTAGATACAAGAAATTTTTAACCAAATTCCCGCACGATTCACGAAAAAATGCTCGCTGCATGCATAACTTGACGGCGAAGTATACCCGCATGCCAAGTGTTAAAAGGCACAGAATTAATTATTACACATAATAATTAATATTTATGATGGTAATTATGGTTATAGATATTTTCCTTTATAAATTTATTATAACAAGGAAATAAAATAAATATGAGTATGTAATATACAGGGTGTGTCACGGAACGTGACGTTTCAAAATGACTCATAAAATATACATTGTATGAAAACTTCTGGTTGTAGCTGATTTCGGTTTGTATACAATTATACATATGTCAATTGTCATTTTATGTGACAAGACGAGAGAAACGCCAAAATACAGTTGTCCATTGGACGCATGACTGACGCCCGATAAGAGTTAAATTTTATTCGAATTAAATGTATTTAATCTAATTTTTGTCTCGAAACTAAATAAGCATGACTATCTTAAATTTATATTCGATAAACGACTGCATTGCATCAATTATACTCCATCGCCCTTTTTCTTTTTTTTTTTTATTTTGTTTCCAAACGATTACATTTTTCATAACGTTCCCAAGATAAAATTTTTCTGCGTGACGTTCCCATTTTCGTCCTGGCTTTGAAAAATTACTCTCTACGCGACTAAAGAAGTTTAACTTACAAGAAAAGAAAACAACATATTTCGAGACGTCAATATATAAAAAGAAATTGTTAGAAAAGTTATCGGAAATCAAGTGGTCCTTGGTACTCAAAAGAACAGAGTACCGTAATTCGACCGAACGTCGTATCTCGAAGGCGATCTCATAAAAGAAAAAGAAGGGTAAACCAAGAAGAAGTAGATAGGCTGTAATCGAATCAGAAGGGAAATAAAGGAACGGTATAAAATGGCCTCGAGTAAAGTTTCGTTTCCATAAACGAATGGGATTTTCTTAATAAGCATTTGAGGGGTATGAGAACTATATTGCGGCAATTAAACGTGCGGAATCCGTAATTCAGTATCAAAGCATAATTAAAACCGGTAAGATTTACTTATTAATAATAACGACGAAAAAAATTACTCTTCAGTTTTTCGTTGTGTTACTGTCCCTCGAATATGTTTACGTATTTTCGAAATGTACAATTTTTTTATCTCAAAATTCCAATGAACTTCCAACTTTACGAACCATCGAATATTTTATGGTTTACCCACTATACGTAATAATCTTATTATGTTCAAACGAAATATAAATTATTCCTTTATGATGTTCATACTCCTCGTAAATAGCAATTTGAAAACGGTCGAAAAGAATTTTTTACTTTGCTACCTGAATCATAATTTGGTAAAGTATCACCCTAAAAAATCAATTCGAAATACGATCGACTTATGATAACTACGTTAAGTAGTAATATAAGAAAAGGACAAATATTCAATTTCAATATATTAGCTACGTGCTGTATACATTGAGATTATAATTATATTCGTGATAAATTTACTCGGAAAATTAATACATTAAAACGATAATTGTTTTCATAAATCTGTATGAAATATTACGAAGCTAAATGAAAAAAAAAAAAGAAAAAGAATAAAAAAAAAATTATCTCTAATCGTTGAATTGAGTACTTGGTTTTGAATTGAGTATATTGCAAAGCAATTAAAGATAAAATCTCAACAAAACTATATATTATAATTTAACAAAAGGGGAACACACCTGCGACATAAAATTGATATTCATCATTAAGTTTTTACTTAATTGGTTGATTCAGGAAACAATATTAATAAAACATATCTTTCATTCTATTTCCTATAAACAAGAGCAAAACTTCTATGTCAAAAGAGCAACAAGTAGTAAAAAGGGACAAAAATGTGTATAGGATCGAGCATATTATAAATCAATGGAGAAAGGCGGTAACGAAAATAGCAGGTAAGACAATCTATCGTACATTAAAAGGCATGTAAACAGGCGTGGGACACACGTGCGTGGGATAAAATTTATCGGCCTCGCCTTGGGCCACCGCGTTAACCACCTTCGAATCTCATTCTGTGGTAAGTAAGCGCCGCAACAGCGATTAATTTTCTAACTCTAGCTACTTCTCCGTTAAGATATACATATTTTTTTATTATCTAGCAACAAAAAATAACAAAATTAAAATAAAGAAAAAATAGTTTCTTCTATCGTTTAACGAAAACATACAATCATTTCATTAAATGTCGATAGATACAAACAAACAAAAACTAAAAATAAGTTTATTGATACAGTTTGGTACATTACGTTTATTCGAAATATTGTCTATCACAAGCAACTACTTTTTTTTACTAAATAATAATACTAAATTTACTTTATTTGACAATTATAACCTAAACCTTGTGAAGCATCATCTTTCTTAAAACGGCGGAAACTTATTTGTACTCCTAATAAATAATTGATAAAGATATCGTTATTGCTACCAATAAGCTCTTGTTAAATTTGATGAGAGGAAGCAATGAACCGACGAAACGTAAAATTCTAGGATTACAAGAATTGGCAGCAGACGGCACGCGAGAGTGTGCATCAGACGATGTTGGTAAATGGATAAAAGAAGATAAAAAGGCAGAGCAAGCACATTTGGAAGATCGTAGTAGTATCGAAAAAGATGGTGGTGGTCCTCCCTATGCCACGCGCTCCTATATCTTCTTTCTCCACCTCCTCCTCCTCCTCCTCATCGGATAGTCAGTGGTAAAATGCGTCGTACCATTTACGGGCAACTAACTTTCTGCGATGGATACTCGAATTTCACGAGATTAAAACAACATTCCTTGAGATCACGAATTATAACCATCGAACGATGACGATAAGCTTAAGGCATGGGCTTTGTTGGTTCTCTTACTTTCTGGTGGTTGTTTCGTTCCTCGAAGTCGAGGAGCCATCGAAAGGCGTTGAGGAAGAAGAGGAGCAACCAAGCAGCCCCGTTGCACGCTGCCACTGGCGGCTGGTGTTCGCTCGGCATGGTCTGCCGACCGCAGCACGCGACACCATATGGTCTACCGATAACCATGACCCTCTTGTATGGTTATGTATTTGTGCGTTATATCTGTGCATCCAAGAAGATACGCAAATACGCAAGGACTACTACTCTCCAGGCTTGCCAAATTCTCCCTTGAAGGAAACACGAGAAGGAAAGGACTATCTATCTATTTCTGTCACGACAATATAATTGCATACCTTCTGATCAAAATTTCTTTTATTTCAATTTTTTTTCCTAAGATTTATTATATCGCTTTAGGATTTTTGTAGAATAACATGTTTTTGACGCATGTACAAAAAAAAAATAATAAGAAGAAGATTAATTTATAATATTGGATGTAGAAATTAATTCTGTGTCTTAATTCTAACTTGAATGTAAATAATTACTTGCCATGTTTAATTACCAACACTTAAAATTATGAAACATTTGATGACTAGGTTAAAACTAAAGCAATTAGTAAGCATGATAAGACATTGAACTAATTTCTTTACTTACGCTAACGAAATTACATGAACCATTTCAAATTTAGTTAATAAAAATTCATCGAATTCTTATCTGAAGAAAACACGAGAAAGGGAAGGTTATCTCTGATATACCGATATAATTTTTTATTCTTTGATTAAAATGTTTTTTTTTTAATTGTTCTTAGATTTATTCAACTTTATAATCTTTACAATATAAAAATAAACAGAAAGTTAAGTTTCATAATAAAATTGGATGTATACAATCTAAGAATATATTGCGCTCAGACAATAACAAGTTGAAATATTTCAAAATATTATATAGTATTGTTTGTTATTAAAATGTGTTTCATTTAAAACAATTCTATTAATGCTTGATTCAAATACAACGCATGCCTATGCATAAATTGTTAGAGTTGCAACAACACAACAAAAGTTACTGTTGCAAAAATAAAGCGATCAATTTACCAACAAAATTAATAGAACCATCTAAAATGTGATCGGCGTAGAACATAAACTATCCTATCCGTACAACCGAGTAAACACTTCATGTTTATGCACAATGGGATCATTAATATTCTTCGTAAAACGGTATTGGTGGTATCGAGATGTTACTAAGAAAATATTTGTTTTTAAACTGAATATAACATGACAGAAAATTTATTTTTTATTGAAGAAAAAAATAAGATAAAAGAAAAATAAAAAAAATGTTGAAACGTTGAAGATTGAAAAACTACTTGGAAAGAAAAAAAAACCCATTCTCCTCGTTCGATTTCCCCTACAATTCCCTTTTCGTAGAGTATGGCTAACGGTAAGTGAAATTCCCATAGGATTTTCGGGGGGTTGGGTAACGCGTTTATGGCACCCTCGACGACATTCGCCTGGCCATATCCTAATAGAAATGTAATCACGTAGTTCTGGTAGCTGAATAAATTATTATTATGGTCTCGTATGAGTTTATACAGAGAAGAGTGAAAATGGAGAGAGAGAGAGAGAGTTAGTGTGATAGATAAAGATAAAGAATAAGAAGAGGGAGAGAAAGAAGACGTAGGAGCGTGGGACACTCATGAATTTGCTCGAACATGACGATGTTCCCGCATCGGACCCTGTTATTTATCGTTATTCGTTCACGACATCAACCCCGAAATTATTTTCTACCTTCCACCGACGCGAGATGTTTTAACGGCGATCGAGCGACTCTCGACGAGAAAATATCTTTCAGTTCCGACATCGTAAATTCCATAGAACGTGCCGGTAAGAAGAAAACGAGTTCTCGAGTATACGATGGTTGTACCGATCGGTCACAGAATGCAACAATATTTCGCTCAAAATCTACGTATTCACACCACACATAAGTTAAGTATACATGCTTCGTCACCCCCGCGAACAAGTTACACCTCTTTATACCGAATGATTTTTTTTTTGTCATGAATGTTACTTTTCTCACCATTCTCCTTCATAGATCGCAATTTACTTGTGTTTTCTTATCTTACCGTTTTGTTACCGAGCTTATCGATAGACAACAAGTCGTATGGAACGTGCTTCGGTAAAAAAATCGATCAATTTTTTTTTCTTCTTCTTCGGCTTTAGTTTTCACCGTGTATATAAATAAAATTGTGTCACAAAATTTGTTTAAATGAACAAATAATTTGTAATAAAAAAAAAAGTTTATCTCTTAAAAAGAAAGAAAGACAATAGCAAATGTCGAATTTTTCTAATGAATAACATCAAAGAGCTTTATTTTTCTTTATCACCAATGGAAAATCGCAACCGAGATAAAAATACGAAAATATATATGTATGTATTGTCGATCGCGTATCATTTTGACGATAGATAAAGAGAATCTTAAGACGAGAGATTAACTTCCAACGAAGGGGGGAATAATGTAGACACTATAGTGGCTTCGATCGAGCGAAATCATCGACCAGACGTTTTACCTTTTTCTTACGTCACGTATAGTCTAAAGGTGTAAATGAGAGATCGTTGGATGATTAATCTTATCGTGCTTCTTCACTCTTGATCGACTTATCGAAACTATTTAATTACAACACTCTGTTTATCGGAGGAATCAATTATTTTTTTTATTAAAGGTGAAAGTTAATTTTTTTATTTAACTATAAGAATCTAGTTGGCCCTCTTTGATAAATTTCAAAAATTTGGTTCAATAGATTTTATTTCAAATTTATACGTGAAAATTATTATACAATTCTTCTATTCATTTTAATTTATTTTCAAATCAAAGATTTTATTTTTATTCTAGACTAAAGCCAATTTTTCCATCCCAGATTATTCCTCTTCGATAAATTTCAAAAATTTTTATCGAATTCGTTTCATTTACAGTTTATAAGTCACGATTATTCGACAATTCTTATATAATTAAACTTATTTTTGTCTGACAGATAAGGACCGCATAAAAAAACGCGCATGAAAAAAATATTCGGAAATTTTATAAATACTTACCTATAACGAATATAACCTTGTACAAAATATAAGAAAATATTTTTTATGCTGTGGAGAGAGGCCACTTAGAAAATACGCTAATTATGTACGAAATATATAAAAAAAAGTGCTTCCAAACAAAATAAATTATCAAATTAAACATGAAAACATTTTAAATGTATAATCTTAAACACAAAGTTGTGTGTGTGTGTGTGTGTACATTTATTTTATATTATAATATTTTTAATGACATACCAAAATAAAATTCTCTTTACTGTTAGATACTTTTTTTCTGTACCCCTAAAACACTGTACTTATGCTTGGAAAATGTTAATTTGGAAGATGAAAATACAAATAACCCAACTAAATCTTTCATATAAAAATTTGAAGCATTATCTATAGTTTTCCGAACAAATTATGGATTTTTAAAATTATTTTAATATCGAACATAATTCATTTTCATAGTAAAAAATATTATTTATCATTGTTTTTTTGATTATAAACTCTTTTTACACGAGCATCATTTAACATTCTGTAAAGTTGTTTTTATGAAAAGTTAATAAAGAATTAAAGGTCTTTGTTTATTGATCGATTTCAAATTTATGGTTGGAATGGGCGTGTGGGTTTGCTTGTTTTATTAAAACTATCGAGAAGGAAAGGTCAATATACTTGTATTTGATTATATCTTCAAATATATTTAGTTTGTTCAGTTCAGTTATGTGCTTATGTTTTCGTCATTATTTCGTCATTTCTTCGCATAATTCTTTCTAATTTCTTATCCCTTTCTCTTTCTCTCTTTCTTGAAAAGGTTATAGAAAACAAACCATTGAACGTGTCGTTCGATCGACACTTAATTCCAGGTACTCTTGTTCACGCTTTGGTAGAAACATTAAATTACACACTCTTGTCTATAATCTAACACACAAGCTCACGTAACAGGTGTTCGGTTTTTCCTCTTGATAATCACAGATTGACGTGAAAGATGACAAAGCTATACAATTTACGTAGCAGTAAACAAAATTCGAGTCAAGTTCCAAACCTCTGAAACATATCTAAAATTAACAAAAAAAAATAACTCATATCCAGATTTCCATTTTCTCTTGAATGAGATCATATAAAAAAGGAAGACCTATAAATCAATAAGAAAGAAAAATTTATTGTTTATAGTGCGCTAAAGCTCGATTCCTAGAACAACAAAAAATACACAAAATATAGGGGAGTAAAAAAAGAAAAGAAAAAACCAAAAATATAAGTCATGAAAGCATTCATGGGAAAAACTTGAATCGGAGTCAGAGTTCACTTTCTCTTTCTCTTTCTCTCTCTCTCTCTCTCTCTCTCTTTTCGTATTTTTTTTTCTTCCTTGACGTAATCCAGACGAACGGTTAAATCGTTACGACGAGTCGGGCTCGTAACGTCGTAAAGATTACGATCGGAGCGTCATCGGCGCGAGAAGATGTACGTTTCCTCGTTGCTCTGATGAGAGCAAAAGAGTCGTGGCCTAATGAGAAGAAAAAGGGCCGCACAGCGGTGATTTACGAGACAACCTAAATTCAATAGCGGCACGGCTTTCACGATCGTTCGCGCGCAAAGCGAACTCTTCAAACGTAATAGTAATAGTATTAGTAGTAGCTTGATTGATAAGCGATGCGCGTTACGAGATAACGCGACTTGATCGCGTTGAGTAAGTTTAAGTTTATTTTCTGTTAGTTTTTTTTTCTTCTTTTTTTTTTCTTGTTACTTAAATTCACTCACCCAATGCTGCGTCGTTACAACTTCGCCCTCCGCTGCTCCATCGAGTGTCTGTGAAAAATTGAAAAAAGTAGGAAAAACTTTAATAAAGTATTTTTCTATTTCTTTTTTTTTATTATTATGATTATTATTTTTTTTGCGCGCGAACCGGTCGTCATTATTTTCATTGTTTTACGAACGACATTTAAACTCTAACTGGACTTTGTCTCTTTTCTCATCTTTCACCTCCCCCTTTCCTTTTTTTTTCTCTTTTTTTTTTCAATTGCACGATTAACACGTTTGTTTGCACAGCTTGCCTCTGTTCGCACGATGGAAAAATAATTTGCTAAGATAAGATTGTAATTTTATTTCATCGAAGTTTCTATTCCAATTGGTTCAATTCGTAATGGAAAATACAAAGAAAGTAACACAATAAGTATAAACGAAATCAGAAAAATATTTGGACCGTGGATCGCGAGACATTTTAATATTTTTTTTTAGCTGTTTTTAATTTTTTTTTATCAATTTTTATTTAAAAAAAATAAGAATTGAACGATAATCGATAATGAAATAATACTTACATCTTTCTTTCTCTTTACGGCAGCAGCACCTAAAAAAAAAAAAAAAAAAACAAGAAGTTTTAATTATAATCGAAAGATTTGTTATTCTTTAGTCATCTACGAATAAAATTTCTACAAATTTTATTATATATCGTGTATATAATGCTTACTACATTTCGAGTTCTAAGCGTTGACTCTTTGTTCGACGTTTACCAAGTTATAGCGTTTATATCTTCCTTCTGATAGACACTCTATTCTCGTAGAGAGATTACTCTCTTGCTGTAACTACTTCGCAACTAGGCTATTATACATCAATGATACAAAAAATAACCAGAGCCTGTTGGACGATAAGAATAAGATAGAAAAAAACAAATCTATCTACATATTAAAATGAAGGCTAAAATTAATTAATCTAATAAAATAATAGCAACACATTCCTATAATATTTATTTTTACTTTTCCTTTTACGCGTTTTGAGAAACTTTTCTACGAAAACTTTCTCACATCTATTCAATAATACCGAAGTCGCGTTTTTAGTTTTTATTTTTTCTAAATGTGTTATCCATCCAATTTACTAACTGTGCCCAAGGTGATTGGCTTTAGTGATCTGACTTTAAATTATAAATTATTTTATTTGAAATTATTGATATTTGCTTGTAATATAAAGCTTCCAAATTCTTATACGCACAAAACTATTTGAAGTTTATTAAATTTTCAATTGATATAAACTTGATTGTAGAAAAACATTTTTTATCTTTCGAAAAATATAATTTTATTTAAATGATAAAAAATTAGTATCACAAAAGTATTTGTATTTATGTAAGGAAATAAAAAGAAAATCATTATTTTTGGAAATAGAGTACACTCTTTTGTATTTTATAATACTTTTAAGAATATTACCATATTTTTAATATGGTATATAATATATTTAATAAGAATAGACCATATTTTTTTCTCATATATATATAAAATTAAACTTCTCTTACAATAAAATATTCTTTAGCAATTAAATATATATTAATTAACAAATTTAATAATCCTAAAATATGTTTTCGAGTGTATAAGAATTTAGAAATACTGTATTACAAGCAAATACTAATTATTTTAAATTGACAGTGAAAGTAAGAATACTCCTGAATACTCGCTGTACATATTTATGAACATTCATTTATCAAAATTGCATAAGACACCGTCGAGGTTTTCCTTTTTGTTTTTTATGAGTTGATCTGTAAAACTTTTTATAAGCTTATAAGATAAAGCTAAGTAATTTGATAACAAAATAGAATTACTTACCAACCGTGGGATTAGGTAACCGTGCACCATTCGTTCCTGTGGGGGCTGCCGGATTTGCAGTGGCGGGGGTAGGGGTTACAACTGAGGGAGGTACACCCCTACTCCCAAACGGAAAGTACGGCGAGTCCGGGGGATAGGTGGCACCTTCGACGGCCCCACCGCCACCACCACCACCACCTCCACCACCAGGACCACCTCCCCCAGGCCCCCCGCCAGGACCACCGACCGATGGACCGAACGCGCCTCCACCACCTCCACCACCGCCACCACCGCTCCCGTACGACTGCAATCAAAGAACAACAAAAATATCGTTTTTATTGCTATCAGATGATAAACATTTTATATACAGATTTAATCATTAAACATATTCGTTTTTATTAATTTCAAAATTATACATTGAGTCACAGGAGTATTCATGTATCCCTCCTCCCCACCCCCCTTTACAACAATCAATATTTTCTTGTAAAATAATATTTCTAAATTCTTATACAATGAAACATATTTGACTATTTTCGAACTATGAAATTTATATAAAGTTTATTGCAAAATAATATTTCATTTTAATCGAAGTACAATTTAACATAACTAAGAAGAAAATTAGTCTCACAAGATATGCCAAATCGTTTCAACAACATTATAAAATACAAAGGAGAGAGCCAACCAAGTACTACTTATAAAAATAGTAATTGTATTTTTATTATATCTTACTTAGATACAAATATTCTTGTGATACCAATTTTTTATCATTTAAGTAAAACTATATTTTTTGAATGATAAAATGTTTTTTTGCAAAAATTTATATCAAATAATTTTAATAATCTTAAAATAGACTTGTGCGTATTCGAATTTTGAAGCTTTGTATTAAAAGCAAATGTCAATAATTTCAAATTTATTGCGGAAGCAGATACGAATACTCCTGTGACTCACTGTACACTGCTTACAAATTAATTTTTAGCAAAATAATACGATCTTTAGTTTTATTAGAAATTTGTTCACAATTTAACACTAGATTTACAGATATTTATATATTTATTTCTAAAAACACGCATCAAATTAACGTTTAAACGAAACTGCACTGTTTTGTTTAAAAAGAACTCATTATACTACAAATTTTGAAATTAAAAGGCTAAGTAAAAAATTAATTTGAATATATTATATTCGTCTCGTTGAATGAATGAAAATAAATGATTTCCATAATTTTCTTTGTGAAATTGGAAATGCATCAAAATAATGTATTCCCTAAGCCTAATGTTAAAGAGAAGCAAATTTATGATAAACGAATAATGAATAGAATTCGATGTTTATTTTATCAAATATTTGCATTAGAAATACATTCTATTATGAAAAGAGAGACAAAAACATAGTGTACTTTAAAATCTCTGAAATATCATGATTTATGCAAAGAATATAGATATGGGTATACTATACGTGAAATTGTCTAATATTTTATAAAAGATATGATTAACAAATAATTTAAAATATGCAAAAACGAAATAAATATAATGCGTTTTTATTTATCAATGCATCAGAAAGGTCTGCGAAGGATGAAGAAGTTCCAAAGGTGACTTTTAATAAATCCATCCATCGAATCGATATTTCTTATCGTTTATACCTTAACGACCGTCGATTAGATGTTATTCACCGATTTTGTACAAATTTATAATAACAACGCCAAGAGAGTTATACTTAATTGGTACCACCACCAACACCACCACCACTACCATCTCTACTAACCACTCCTTCTATGACTAGGAGGTGAGAGAAGTATGAATTTAGGAACGATGCTATCACACAAATAAACCGACTTATGCTTCGCGATTAAATCATCTTGATAATTGTCACGAGCGTGTGATAGCAAGTGTTACGACTTAACTCTAAGCAACTTCTTCGTGAAAGTATTTTAATGTATATAGGAACGGTAAACATCTTTGAGCGAACATTTCGATTAAATTGATTACGTAACAAGAGAATTATCTCGTATGACAGAGAGAGTCTAAGAGAGAGAGAGAGAGAGAGAAAAAAAAAAAGAGAAGAAAGAGGGGAAAAGAAAGAAAATTATGGCTTCACGTTTAAACGATCCTACTAAATGACGCAGAATTAACTCGCTCTGTGAGATTTCGGTCAAAGAAACACGCCTCTCTTGCCAAGAAACAAGGTATAAATAAACTATGCAAGAACATCTTGTATAAATTTAATATTTGCGACAGGAAAGGCCGATCTAATGAGATATACATACATATAGCTTGGCTTATGATAATCATCGAAACGTTTTTCTCGATTCAAAGAACGAAGAGAATTATTCGGTCGGTGTAAGCATCCTTTTTCTTTTCTTTCTTCTTCTCCATTCAACAAATAACGAGATTACATACATATATATATATWTACAGGGTGATCCTACGAATTCTTTGGAAATACCCTACGAACTTTTCGGAAATACCGTACGAACTTTTCAGAATAAACCTGTATATGTATATAAGTTATTCTTATATGAAAAGTTCGTAGGTCCGTTATAACGAGACGTGATCAAGTGCACGCATACTTTGCGAAAATTTAAAGTCGATTTTCTCGAAAACAAAGCTTCAAACAAAAAATGTTTATTCTATATTTTCGATTTATTTCTTTATGTAGAATCACCCCCTTTTCGCTTGTACCACCAGTATATCATCCTGTATAATGAATAAATAATTTTATTATATATTAATTATTATATTAAATTATTTATTATATATTAATTAAATTATATTAATTATTATATATATATTATTTGTTGCAATATTTCGTATCTCGGAAGATCTTGAAATTTATTTCTATACATATAATGTGTATTATACAAATATATGTATATAAGTATATAGGTAGATAGATAAGGAGAATCAGCGTCGCGAAAAGTAAGAAATTACAATGAAGACTTCAGCTGTATTCCGGGGTAACTTTTCATGCGAGCTAGCTTAACCCCTTACCCACTCTTTACGTATGCTTTGTTTTATACGTGTTCACCTGAAAGAGGCCGAGGGTATGGATATATGTACGAGCGAGTATGAACGAGTACGAAAGAGAAAGGAAAAGGGACTGGAGAAGGGTGAAAGGGAAAGAAAGTACGTAAGAGGAAATATATAGATACATCGCCTGCTGCGGATCAGAGGGAAGAACGTAAGTGATATTAAACTCGGGGCTTGGCGATTCTCAACCACCTTATCTTCCCCAATCCTTCGAAGAATCTAGTAGTACTTTTTTCATTTTACCCTTTTCCTATCGTAACTTTCGATCGAATTTCGTATTCCTCAATATCTTATACCTTCTTTTTTCATGTTTTTTTTTTTTTTTTTTATATTTAGATAAAAATAAGAAAAAACAAAAATTGTAATCTTTCTTCGATGAAAATCGATGATCTAATCCACGATCTAAAAATATTAGAATTACGAATGTAAAATAAGAGAAGTAAGAAGAGTCTAGCGGTGTCTTTAATCAACGATATTTTATTCTTGGCAAACGCTAAATTTGAAATCTTGACAGAGGTTTTTGATGCTATTAAATAGTATATTAAAGTTAACGTTAGATTTTTGTTGATATTCGTTTTGATTCGGATATTAATTGATGTATTTCATTTGATTAAAATCGAAATATAAAAAAAGAAGGAAGATAGAGAGAGAGAGAGATAAAAAAAAACATAGAAAAAAATTGAAAACTAAGTAAACTTATAGACAAACCTAAAAGTAATGAAAGAAAGAAAGAATTAATGATGTCAACGATAAGCCGATCGTGCTAACAAAATAACTTAGCTATATACTACAAAGAAAAGGGTTTACGTAAGAGCTTATATGAAGTACTTAAACATCCACGGAACTCGTTATAACGTTGGGATAAAGTATGTCATCGTACGTATATAAGTAAGTACACACACACACACACACATATCTATTAGCATACACACAAGAAGACAATGTCGCTCGTAAGAAGCGGAGACGTTTTGTCGGCGTGAGAACCACTTCTTGAAAATATCGCTCGGTCTAAAGTTTTCGGATTATGTCGAGGGTGCCAGGGTAAGAGAGAGAGAGGGATGTGGAACCCGAAGAAGGGAAGAAGAAGAGACAAAGAGAGGGGTTAAAGAGAGAAAGAAATGGAGAAGGGACGAAGTATAAAAAAGAAGGGGAAACGAAACTTGAGTAACTTTTTCTCCAATAAATTTTGCTCATGCTAGTGTAATAATTATTACTCTACTATTTCTTACGTAATCCAAATCGCGTTTTAACTCGATCGAAGGACCAAATAAATGAAGAAAATTTTATTTTCTTTAATCTGTCCCGTTGCTTTCTTCTTTCACGTCGAATAATAAAAAAAAATTACAATTGAAATATCTGTGATTAAAAAGTAATTTCTAATTTATTCGTTAGACAAAATTAATCTGCTTTATTGTGTCGAGAGTATTTTTGTTGCAAAATTATCTAATGTAAAAATTATTATATTTTCTATTAACATTTGGACGCGTTTTTCTAAAAATTATTTTTTCTGAAATAACATTTGCCATAACTTAAAAAATTATTCATCGATTAACTTCTAATAAAACTTATTTTCTTGATACTATCGTAGTAAATAATAGTAGATAATATTAAAAGATCTAAAAGTATCGAAATTTACTCGAATTATGTGTTTCTAGTAACCCTGGTTTTGCCAATCACCAGTGACTCCCCATGGAATTCAACGTGTCAAAAAGGGAACAATTTTTTTTAATACTTAATAATCCGCTTACCATTCCGTTGTCCATCGTAGAGCCATAGGGTGACTGGAAGCCTGGCTTTTCTGTAACAAAATCAATAATTTCTAATATAATTATCAATCTTATATCGAATTTCGATATACTATAGATATACATTTATAATTACTACTAGAAATTAATTTCATTCAAAAATTCTTTGTACTTATCATAGATATAATAACACTTTATTTTCTTTTTAAATACAAAAGATTCATTTTAAAAAATCTTCTAATTTATATTCAGTATTTTATAATAATTAGGGTTATAATAATTAGGTTATAAATAGGATTAAAAAATTTCAAAATGTGATTCCCCTCAATTTAATTTCATCATTAATATCACCTGACTAGATACGAATAACAAGAGATGAAATACTAACAAAATATTAATACAAAAGAATCGTGTACCAGAGATCGGCAATATTTAAGGGACACGAGAAAAAAAAAATGAATAATAAAAAAATAAAAAGAAGAAGAAGAAAGATTCGCGAGATACGCATATGTATCGGCTTCAGTCGATGCAAAATTAATGTCGAATATAAATTTGCAATGCGTCTTTATAAATCAAAACCGCGATCGCGTTAAGAATCCGAACAGCGGGGATACACGCACGTTTTCCGCGCTCTGTTTGTCGGCTACGTAAGCGGAATAAGCAACGAGATAAACATTACGGGGTTGCCACAGTCGAGACTCGCTTCATCCGTTATTAATGCTTTCTTCATATATATATAATATTTACATATTATATATATGTGTATGTATATGTATCCGTATATACATATAGTCGAGAGGAACACCTTAAATTTCTAGGAATGTATTCTACACGTAAAAATAATTTGAAAAAATTCAAATGTTATTATTTGATCATTATTGTTAATATCAACTGTTCTTTTTTTTTTTTTTTTTAATTATTTTTATTTGACATTTATCTTTTTCTTTTAAGCAACGAATCAATCGGAAGAGCAAAAGACACACTTTGTAGACAAAGCAGAAAATGTTATTAGGTTAATGGTGATGTTTTTGAATCTTTAAAACAACGCAATTGATATTATAATTTGAAAAAAAAAAAAAAAAAAACAAATAAAATTAGATAACAATATTTAAGTTTATCTTTTTTATTATATTTACGTATATAATAGACTCTTTGAGTTAGGGGTGTTCCTCCTGGCTCACCCTGTACATATGATGCGGTTCTTTTTTATATACTTCCTATACCGTCTCTCTATGTATATATTACATACGTGTATTTAAGGGTATGTATGTGTATTCCCGTGTATATATGTATTTATGTACGCGCGTCTTTGAAAAGATTTACGGCGATCGCCTTTGGATTTGCATTTCGAAATCCGACATTACGAAATGGCGGCTAACATCCTACCCCCGTCTTTCTACAATTCATTTTTTTTTATTACCTCTTCCTTGCCGAAGAACAGATATCGTATCGGATCAATCTGCATTAGTCAAAGTTACAATAAAATCTTGCGTGTTGCGAAAATGGAGATTTTTCTACGTTGTTTATTATAGTATTTGCATCCAGATAAAAACGGGAAATAAATCCCCGAATAATCAATAGTAACAGGATAATAAGCATTTTCTTAGGAAGATAAGATGAAATAATAAATTTCTAAAGAACATCTGATAAAAAATTTGTTAATAGTATATTATACACACATAATATACAGAATTTTTGTTATTCATAGCGATGTAATTAATTTATTTGAAAATTAAAATAATAGTCATTCTCATTGAAAAAAATCTTCGTAATGTTAAAAATTCACTATCGGTTCTTCCAGGGATCATTTTTGTAAATAATTTTGGAAAAATTGCTTTTTGTTGATATATTGATTGCAAATACTTTTATACAAAAATTAAAACTATTATTATTTATATTAATTATTTTGACTTTGATGTTATTATATTTGAAAATTGTACCATAAGCCTCCAAAAGGGTTTCTCATTGAAAAAAAAAACTTTCTTTCTTAATGTTACAATTTAATCTCCAATTCTTTAACAGCATTGTCTCAACTGCATTGTCTACTTGATCTACTGACTCTACTTGATGAGACGACAATAAAAATGATATTTTACTGTATTGGAACGATATCGTATTCAAAATTCCATAATTTTGTAAATTTTTTAACTTTATTTTAAAATAACGAATACCTCAAAACCTTTTAAATTTTCAATGAAAACATTATTTTTCAATTATATATGACGTTTACTTATCGACAAAATTCATATACAAAATTATCTAATACGAATCATCAATAATAAACGTTGAAGTTTAACGTGTAACTTAAAAACCTGAAAGAGAAACATGAATTATATAAAAGCGACGTTATAGCAGATACAGCAAGATTTCCTGTAAATCTCTGATAGTTAGGTAAATGTAATTGAAATGTAAGATAAAGGCATATAAGCGGGTATAGATAGAATACATGGGAGTATTTCAAAGACAGAGTATGTCTTCGTCGTCTTCGTAGTCGTCGTCGTCGTCGTCGTCGTCGTCGTCGTCGTCGTCGTCGTCGTCATCGTCGTCGTGAACGGATTCAGAAACTGGAATACGCAGTACGTGTAAACGGACGATCTGTATTAGCAGGATATTATAGGATAGTAGAGGGACGTGCGTGGACGATAGGGCGAATGTCCAGCGACGGGCACGATCGGTCGAGATAACTATGAATCCTAACAGTTTCGGCTTGCTCATGACATGTTTGCCGAAGCGTGCGGCACCGACTCTGCAATATCATGCATCAAAGGACAAGCTAAACCATGGACCATCGTGTCATCCTCAGAACCCCGGGCCAAGCCCGCTCGACCGTTGTGACGTAACGTTGAGCATCGGGGAGCTCCGTGTCGCGACGATTAGTTCGTCTTCCGTGTTGCTCTGTCGACGTCATCTACGAGCTATCCTTCCTCTCATGAAGAATAATTGATCGATAGTTATGTCCAGGGAAATCTCTTTAACCTACCTCGAAAACATTCCATATGATTTCAGTTTAATCATTACGATATGATTCATTTATTTATTTGATTTTCTTGAATTTCTTTTGTAAATTATTATTTCAAATCAAAAATACGAAAGAATTTTTCCTTAAATATATATATATATATATATATTCTTTCTTAATGAACTTGTAATTTACTTGTTTTTATTTAAATTAATCATAAACTGTATTTTATATATTCATTTTTTACCGATAGAAAACTTGATCTTATAAGATATGCTTATTCGTTTCGAAAGCATTCTAGCAATAAGATGCAAAAGATTTGCAAATATAATAATTTTGTTTTTATTATATCTTACCTTAATGAAAATATTCTTGTATATAATATCAATTTTTAATTATTTAAATAAAATTGTATTTCTTAAAATATTGAATGTTCTTCTGCAATAAGATTTATATCATTCTAAAGTAACTAAAATAATTTAGTAGTTGTGCATTTCAAATAAATATCAATTATTTCAAATTTACAGTAAGATCAGATACGAATACTTCTGTGACCAACTGTATATATAAAAATATTGACGCTAAATCGTGAAAATCCTAGATTTTACCCGAAATAACTAAGCATTTTTGAGAAAGCATATAAGCAGAATTTTATTATATATTAAAATTTACAAGAGACGAATAGTTAAGTCAATAAAATAGTACGATTAACAGAAGATCTGTTATCAAAGAACAAAAAAAAAATAGGAACAAATTTACGAACACTCATTGTTCGCCTTTATTTTATTTTCATATTCATAATTTTCAAAGGAAATCTAGTTTTATCCCTTAAATCAAAATTCTATCGTGAGATTGGATAATTTTCGTTTAGAAGACCACTAAACGAAGAAATACATATTTTCTGTTTCCGAATTGACAACAGTACAAGTATAGTCAATTATTGAAACGAAATCGAAAAATATGTTTATTATACATAAGATCAAATTCTCTATTACATACTTTAACTATTCGACTCTTATAAAATCCTAAAATATTACTTCGGTTAATTGAAATATGTTATTCTGTCATCTTGTATATTTAAGCAGGTCAATATAATTATTTCAGAGAGTTTAACTGATCATTTCAGGAATTAAAGGATTTCACAAAGTAACAGTAACAGAAACGTATATATAAATATATAATATATTGTAACAATTGATCATAAAGATCGAAATAAACGTAGTCGTCGCAAAGGGCGAGAAGAGAAAGCGCCAAGCGAGATGATCATCGAATCCGATGGAAAATTTGTAACGCATTTGAGCTAGAGTGGTGTGTGTGAAAGGGGCTCGACTATGGTAACCCGTGGAACGATACCATCTACACGGATTTCGGCCGGCATCAATTCGGCATTACACCTCGAAACACGCGAAACACGCGACACAACCTCGAAAACCGCGGCCGCGTTGTACGAGCAAGCGATTTTCATCGAACGAGACACGACCGCGATTTGGTGGTTATGCCTCGTTTGCCTGAAAATCCGCAAAGTACCGATCGGTTTCGTATCCTCGTAGTGATTAGAAACTATCCGATACTTTTATTTCATTTCTACTTTACATATTTATATTTATCTAAATATAAAAGATTAATAACTATTTATATTGTTACAAAATAAAAAAAAACCCAATAAATGATTCGATTCTCTTGTAAGATCATTATTATTAACCCTTATCGATCGTAAGTCACGTGAGGAGTGACTTACAAATAAAAATATGTTAGTAATTATTAATTAATTAGTAATTTCATATATTTGTAATCCTCATACAAAAATATAAATAAGTTATTCTTATAATACTGAACAAATTTGTTGAATATTTACCAAAACCATTTATAACTTACATTAGTAGGATTAAAGGGGTTAAAAATTCTATAACGTAGCATAACAAAGCATCATTTTTAAAATTTAAACGAAACAAATTTGATCGTCTTATAGAATAGGTTAACATTAAATCAATGAGTTAGAAAAAGCAAAACAAATATTTATTCAAAAATTATAATTATATTATAGAAAAATAACAACTAATATTTCACAGAATATAGTTAGGAAACTCTTAAGAC